TGTGGTACCGGGGATTGAACTCGGGTCCTTGTCCTTGCAAGGCAGGACACCGAACCGCTGAGCTAAATCCCCGTCCCTTAAAGAGATGTTTTAATTGATAATGTGGCAATACCTAACTTTGGCAAAAATCTAATTAATGTCTCCTAATAATTTTTGAAAACTAAATAGAAATAAGTGTTAGAGGTTTGTACATTGTCAGGAGCCAGGCAAAGACCATAATTTTAAAGCCCCTCTTTACTGTGGCAAACAAAGGATGTAGCTGTTCCTTTGTAGTTGTGGCTGGCAAAATGTCATCCGTATAATGAATGATACAAGTTTGAGGATTTTTTTCAGACAAATTTTAAGGCTTGGTTTACCAAATGCAGGCACAAGATGGAACAGTTTATCATTCTATGAGGTAAAACTGTTTACCGGTGTCTGAGTCTGAAAAAGGTTATCACTATAACCTCTATACCCATGAAGCATGAATACGTTTTGTACACCATGAAATTACTAATATTGAGTATCACAGCTATATGAAACTCTTTGTCTTTTAATTTAGTTTTGTACCAAGAGCATCTTTTTAACAAAATATTATGTTTTTCTACAGAAAGTTTAACATTTTGACAATGACCAGTGTAAACACATCTCAATAATGTTTAGCAGTGCATATTGGGGTATGTCTCCCACAAGGTTATGGAAACCACTGGGGTGCCCCTAGTGAAGTCTGGAAAATATGTCCAGGCAGCTGTTCCTTTATTCACCAAATGGAGTTCTGACTAGCAGTCTCCCCCAAGCCTGAGGATCCCCATTTAATCATCTTAATAAATTTTAGATGACATATGAGAACCAGATCATGACAATTAACACATTATTTTTGACCAATGAAAGATTTATGAGTTATTATACAGACAACAACATGCATTGTATTTGTAAAACCAGTCTTGACATCATTTTGATGAGCTGGCAACCTAGGGGAAGGGAGCATGTCTTTAATTCTAATGACATTTATCTATAAGCCAACTTAAGTTATAGGTAAATATTTTAAAAACCTAAAAAGGTGAAAAAAGGAGAAAAATGTTGTTGAGTTCAAGCAAAATATATGTAAGATTTCACAGACAGATAGGCAAACACATACCCTCGAAGCTTTGTTTATAAAACGAAGTACACTCTTCTGTATTTGGCCAATTTGAATTATAATAATGCTTTCAGATTTTTAGGTTAGTAACTATAAATAAGACTAGTCATAAAACTTAGTAGTTAACAGAGATCTCTTGTAATTAGAATCAGTAATTAGAATCTTGTAATCAGAATATGTAAGTGCAAAAACAGTATTTAGGTGAGCCCTAGGCTAAAAGCTTTGTTTTTTGTTTTTGTCTCACCATAAATCTCCTATAACAAACTTGGCTAGGATTTTTAAGTCTCCCTTTTTTCATATATTATTTTTTTGTTCTCAGATTGTTACATTTTGATTTTGACTGGTTGCCAATAGCTCTCCAAAAACCTTATATTAGCAATAACAGTAGAGAGAAGAGCAAGTTAACCCTATAATTTCACTTCAGGAACTTAAAATGTACAAGAAATGTTTTAAGCACACCAATTAAACATTAACTCAAATTGGAAACTAAAAGAGCATTCATCAATCAGCTAAAATTTGTAATTTGATTCCTTATAAAATCTCTTTATGTCTGGCAGAGCATGGTCACAATTTTTCAACTTTAACTATGCAGCCCCCAGCTGGGTCTATTTTGGCTTCTAGATGCTTGCAGGCAGCATCACGCTGGTGACACTAAGCAAGCACTGGCCTTGAGGCTGCCGAAGTTGGGAGTGTTTTTCTTGCTCTTTCATTCTGTGCTCTCTGGAGTGTTCCTAGTTATTCCATTTATTTACAAGTACTCATGTATTTTTTAAAATTTTAATTCTTCCAACCCAGATTTGGGTGTTAACCTATGCCCTGGACTGTTTTAATACCATCTTTAGTAACTGCACATATCTTTCCTACTCTACTGACAAATTTTGCCCCATTATCCCAGTTAAGAAAACTTTTCTATGGTGCTACTGCTTAATTTCACTTTTTTTTTTCTGGTACCAGGGATTGATCTCAGGACCTTGCACTTGCAAAATAGGCATGGCACCACTGAGCTAAATCCCTAGTGCTTACTTTCACTATTGTATAGCCATCTCCAAAATTATCCTGCAGAGTTTCCCTACAACTGTGTCACTCTGTCCCACTCAGGTGGGTCTTTCCCTCCAAATCTCAAGGAGTCTGCTATTTAGGCACTAGTTTCCAGGGTCTGATGAGACCCTAAAATACCTGTGAGGGAGGAGTGATGGGGAATAAAGAAGAACAAAGAAAATAGTCAGTGTGCGAGGAGACCAAGTGAAGCCTGCCTCCAGTGAACAGACTTGACGTCTCCGTGGTTGACTCACTTTTGTTAGCCAGCAAGAAGTATAGGAGGAAGCAGGTTGTGCATCATTCAAGGAACAATACTGGTTGAAAAGATATTTTGAAAAATAGGAAACAGACTAAAAATTACTAAGGTAGTGTGTGAAAGGGAACAGGTTCTTCCCTATACCCTGGTACTTGCCCAAGTTCACATGGAACTAGCTTTCTTTATATTGTCCTCAGCAAATGTCGTCCTTCCAGGACTGGATTCAGCTCGTTGACACTGCGTATGCCTCACAGATGTTATCCTTCCATGGAAGTACTGTGATTATAAGAATTCCCCCACACAGGCAGAAAGCACACAGCTTTCTATATCTTCTCTGTTTCCCAAGGTAGATCACAATCTTGAGAGTGTGGGACACAAGCTAGCCCCCAGTAATTCTTCATATAGCCTCATCCCTAAAAATCAGTGACTTTAGTTGCACTGCTGTCTTGAGTCAGTTGAAAATGTTTACTTTTATAGTCATTTTAACTTCAGGGAAGAGCCAGAATTTGCATGGTGAGTAAGGTGGATGAGGAGAAGAGTTTGCATGACTTTGGGATGGTACTCAGCTGCAGCATTCACTTTGCTGTTTTTTATCACATCTTGTAAAAATATTCTTGAAAGAGGACTTCCAGAACTACTTTGGAATGTGGCAAAAATGATGGGCTAATGGGATAAGAATATGCTAAAGGAGGGGGACTATTGTGAGGGGTACTAATGACAATGTGTCTTTTGTAGTAATAAATTTCTGTCTAAACACACTGCATATTTTAAACACCATGCAATTAAAAAACTTATAATGGAGATAGTGATAATTCCCTTATATTTCTGTTATCTAACCACTCTGTTATTAATCTTTTTTTTCTTAACATAGAGTTAAAATATTTTGGATGTTCTACTAAAAATATGAGCATCACTTCAGCAAAAGAAGAGGCACAAATCTCAGTATTTTATAAATATAGTTACCAGTAGTATGAGTAATTTGAATGATTTAACAGAATTTCCTTCTGAGTTATTTGAAAAAAGGTTGCTTCTTTTCCCTTTATAACATACAACAAAGATAGATGATACACAGAATAAGCTAATCTGAAGGAAAAAATTTTCCAGCTTCACGAATATTCTTTAAAATATGACATAAAATAAATACCCCATTTAATATTCTTATAAATGTGAATGTTTTGGAGATCTTTAATCTATACTTGATGAAAAACTTATTCTGAAATGATTCTGTTCTTTTATCCCTTAAGGATTAGCAAGTTGGGGTCTGGTAACGATTTTGAGGTGTTCTTCCAAAGACTTGGGATTGCTTCAGGCAGAGCACGGTATACTAAAAATTGGGTGAGCTTATTTCAATAAATTCTTTAAAACTATAAATGTATTTTAACTATATAAGTGAGTTTTACTGTGAAAAGTGGCTCATGCAATAGCAGAATAGAGGAATGAATGCAGAAGAGAGATGTCTTGTGGTTATAATACTACATGGGGTAGTTCCTGCATATGGTGTTTTAAGCATCATATTTAAGTGCCACTTGTCTCCAATCCTTCTTTCTACAAGCTTCAACTTCTTTGTGTGTGTGTGTGTGTGTGTGTGTGTGTGTGTTTCTTTGCGGTACCAGAGATCAAACTCAGGACCTTGTGCTTGCCAAGCAGGCAAGGCACCACTGAGCTACATCCCCAGCTCAAGCTTCAACTTCTTTATGTTGTTTCTATTATTTGGTAACACTATATTCAGTCATTTAATTTAGAATTGTTTTTTACGTTTTTCTTGCTATCATTCAGAATCAACCCAATCAAGACCTGAAATTACTTGCATATTTATCTCTTATTACAGCTCTATTCATTAAAACAATAACAAATATTTAAACAATAAATGAAATAATACACAAGGAATTTGTAAAAGTGTGGGGGGTTCTTGATGTGCTCATGTTAATGGTTTTAGTTTTAATTTTCATCAAAGTAAAATAAATACATGGTTTATAAAATCTCATACTTCTTTAAGAGCTTATAATGAAAAACTATTTTCTTATTTCAGTGATCACCACACACTAGATTTCTGATCATCAAATGCAGTCTTTCAGGTTTTGCTTTTTCTGATACATACCTACCTCGTGTTTATAAACAGTAGCTTATCGTATTGTTTTTATATTTCATTTTTTGTTAATTAGGAAGTATTCTGCTACTTGTTAAAATAAGAGGGAGAGTTTATTCAAGACTGTTGCACCTAGGTATATTTGCAATAGGGGAATGAGATTTAGCTCTTGGCGAATTGCCACATAGTTCACACCCCCAAAGAAAACTGAGAATAGCCAATATGAAGAAGTACCTGCAGGTCTTTTCTTTGGACTAGTTATTCTTCTCCTGTCTCAAAGGCAGAAAATTTTTAATCTCCTGCCCTTGGGGGATGTTAGGATTATGTGTAGTGATGATAAGAATAGATATTAATATTATCTGCATTTTCCTTATGAGAAAATTACAGCAAAGAAAAGTCAAGTGACCACCACAAGTTCCTGGTGATAAATGTCAAAGTCTGGATTCAAACCCTGGCTATTTCTATAATATGTCTCTTCAACTAACCACTATATAAAGTATTCTTTTGTATCAATTACAAAAATAATCACCTTGAAAACTAATCAAAAGGCACAAATTAGCAATGCATAGTTTAACTTGATGAGACTTTTATGTATGTTGTTGGTTTTCCTTATACATGTATGAACATTCCTTCTCTTTCATTGGTGGGAGTTTGAATTCACTACTGAAACCCTCACAGCTATGATTCAGCACACTGCTGGTCAGAGTATCATTAATCTACAGAATTTCTGTTATTAAATAAGTTGGCATACTTTCCTATATATAATATTGTATAATGCTTATTGACTCACCCCTGACAGTTTTCTGGCTTTTAAAAAATTATTTGAATTTAAAGGCAGCATTGTCATGTCTCTTTTGAGGGGTCTTAAACATTTCAGCATCACTCAAATTCTTTGTGTGTGTGGATTTTGGGAATTGCACCCAGAGACTTTACACTGGATACACCCTCAGCCCTTTTTATTGTTTTTTGTTTTGAGACAGAATTGTTGTGCAAGCTGGGCTCAGACTTGTGATCCTGCTTCCTCAGCTACCCAAGGTGCTAGGAGTACAGGTGCATGCCACTGCACCTGGCTCTCTCTCATACTCTTAAAGGGAAGTCAGGTCTCTACTAAATAATTTTTAATAGTATTGTTTATATCATATAGATGTATTGTTTACTTAGTACAAGCCTGGAATATATTAAAGTACTAAAACATTAGCCTTTACTATGTAGCTTATTAAAGTGCTCAAGTGTTTGATCTTTATTTGTCATGAATCAAACAGTCTTACTAATACTGATAGTAAGTAACAGTGCTAGGCATTTTGTTTTAAGCTGTCCCATGAAAGATGTATTTTGTTGTGTTTTTGTAGGAAACAAGCAAATTCAGCAGCTACCCACTATATCATAGTGTCTATGAAACTTATGAGTTGGTGGAAAAATTTTATGATCCAACATTTAAATATCACCTCACTGTGGCCAAGGTTCGGGGAGGGATGGTGTTTGAACTGGCCAATTCCGTGGTGCTCCCTTTCAACTGTCAGGATTATGCTGTAGTTCTAAAGAAGTATGCTGACAAAATCTATAACATTTCAATGAAGTACCCACAAGAAATGAAAACATACAGCGTATCATTTGGTATGTTACACTTCCTCTTTGAAAATTCATTATTTGCACGTTCCCGTTAATTTCTAAAATGCAGTGACGTGCATTAGGTCACTTATTGTTTACAGCTATTCTCTGTGACAAAATATTCTCTTTATGTCTATGAATATTTTTTCCATTTCATGGATGCTAATATATTAAAATATTTAAAATATAAATGCTTTGTAAAACAAAAGTATGACTTCCTCTATTCTGATTTTAAAATTAAAATTATAGAATGCTGTTAGAAATTATGTTCTTAGTTTTTCATGATTTCAATTTCTCTTTCAGACTCACTGTTTTCTGCAGTAAATAATTTTACAGAAATAGCTTCTGTGTTCAGCAAAAGACTTCAAGACTTAGACAAAAACAAGTATGTTTTGCGTTTTATTGTTTATATAACAGATAAAATTAAAAGGAAATACCAGTTGACATCTCTGTTGCCAAAATGTCTTCGAACAAGTTGTAGCTGTTTTCTGTGTTCCTCTGCCAGTATGCGTCCCGTAGGAGGTTGCCCTTGTCTTCAAAACCTGCATCTGAACTCCATCGCGAGCTGTACTGCTCAGATTTGTAACGCCCCCTTAGGGCCAATGGAGGAAGTGCAGCATCCGCATCTTAGCCAGGAGGGTTCTCTGTTACGTGAACTCACCCAGCTTTTTCCGCTTTTACTTCTTGCCGTTTCACTGTCTGTACATCAAGCCCCTCATTATCTTATTCCTAGAGCATAGCTTTTTCTACCTCTTCAAGTTATTACTTCCACATGGAAATACAGCGATGCCTCGGCTCATGAACTTAATTCTTTCCATGATTCTAATCTCAAACAAGACTGAAAAAGAACCAAGTCGAGTTTTCCCATAAGGTCAACATTGAACCTAACTATTGGATTTGATTGGATTCTTGTCAAAAATCAGTCTGTGACCGTAATCGTGGAAAGACTCAAATTCGTGAACCGAGATACCACAGTACTGTGCTCATTTCTGCCCCCATCTGGCAAATTTGACTATCCGGAACAGTAAATACTGCGAGGCTATTAGTTTTCGAAGTGTTAAATATTTAGGATTGATTCTGTATAAGACCATAAATACGAACCATAATTTGAACATCATTTTAAGGTGCAAAGAAAAATGTGGCAACACAGGAGAAGTCAGTCAGGGTGGTACAAGCTGACATGGTCTGTGGTTGCTATGGTAACCATAGAAGCTCAGGTCCCCCAAGAGTCTCCAGGGCTCCCACTGGCAGCCAGGATGCACTCTGCCAGGTGTGGCTTGTCGGGGTGAGGGTAGTGACCTGTGATCCAGCCAGGTCTGTGTCCAGCGGCGCTCCACTCTTGACAGCACTCCCAGGGCAGCAGAGGCTGTAGCCCAGCAGTAAGACTCGGAGAGGAGCATGAGGCTCCCACTGACCCCACGCAGCTCTGGCTGTCTAAGCCAAGAGAAGTGAAAGTACCCCTGGGGAGGCTCAGCCCCCTGTTCTACCTCCCTGAGCGCTTTCATCCCTGGTGTAGTTCAAGATTGAACTCTGCTCCACACAAGGAACAGAAGAGATTTTTTAAGTGGTAGCCAGCACTTAAAATCCAGCAAGAGAGGCAGAGACAGAGAAATGTGAAGGGGCAAGGGAGAAAGGAGCCTTGGAAGAGGGTAAAAGAGAGAAAGATGGATGCGTGTGTGTGTGTGTGTGTGTGTGTGTGTGTGTGTGTGTGTGTATCTCCATGTAGGCGTGTCCATGGGAATTCTTGTTGTATAGCAATCCTTCGGAAGTTTGCAGGGGTATGGGGAAAATGAGAATGGAGATCTGTCATGGACGGGTACAAGATCCCAGTGATGAATGTAACTGTACTGTATACCTAAAATGTACCAATAAACTCAATGAGGAAAAAAAGCCTATAGCTACTTACTGAAATTATCTTTCATTCAATTTTCTCTTTTGTTTATTGGAACTGGTAACAGATAGTCTTTGCCTCTTTTATACAATTACCAAAACTGGTAAATGATGCTAAATAAATAATTGTTAAAAATAGCTCACTTGAAGGGCTGGGGATTTAGCTTAGTGGTTCTGCTGCCTGCCTTGCAAGTGCAAGGTCCCAAGTTCAATTTCTAGTACCAAAAAAAAAAAAAAACAAACAAAAACAAAAAAACCCTCACTTGAGAGGCTGAGGCAGGAGGATTACTGTGGCAAGGCCAACCTGGCATTCATAAGGAGACTCTGTCTTGACAGAAAAAGAAAGAATCTAAATTAAATTGTGAGTAGTTCAAATCTAAATTGTAAGGTCTTTAGTTATTTATATTTTTCTTTTGTCAACATAGTGCAATTTAAAAGGGGATATTTACCTGCTATTTTACTCTAAGACCTTATGTTTGTAAACTTGGGCAAGTTGAATAACAATTCATCCCTTGCTATTTATGAAGTGGAGCTACTACCCTGTTCAACTTGTAGGATTGTTCTGAAAATTAAAAATAACTCATTGTGTAAACCTTAGGAACAGTAGGTGATCACTGTGAGCTATTACTAAAACTAACACAAAAATTAAGATATAACTAATGAATACAGATATGCCTTATTTTAATGATTATTTCCCATTTATAATGCAGAGTTGGTATATTGAATTTGATAGATTTTTTTGACAAAGGTCAGTTGACAAATTTTCAATTATACTGAATCATTTTTAGTATAATAACAACTTTACCATCAGCCTTTGGAATTGTGACTGAGCTCTGTGGGAATGTTTGAATACGTGAATATTGTTGAAAGGATTAAGTAAATGCCATGGCTTATATTCATGACAGACATATGTTTAAGAAGAAGAATATTACTGTTTGTCATTTGTGAAGTATTTATAACTTGCCAGGAACCTCACATAATATCTCTTACTAATGGGATTAGCTCATTTCAGTATTAATATTTCCTATGAGATTATCAGGATCTCTTATATACCTGGGTTTATCAATTTTCATTTCAGTATACATAAAATATACTATATTTTCCACTGCCAAATCTCTTTTTCATAAGCCTGTGACAGTAGTATTTTACAGTATTTAAAAAATAGGATCATGCCAGGCATGGTGGTGCATACCTGTAATCCCAGCACTTGGGAGGCTGAGGCAGGAGGATTGCTGTGAGTTCAAGACTAGCCTGTGCTACATAGTGAGCTCCAGGTCAGTCTCAACTACACAGTGAGACCCTTTCTCAAAAAATAAATAAATAAAACAACTAAAACATGAGATATATATGCTATTGTTATTTTTGCTGATTTTTTTAGTTTACTGGGTAGTACATAAATTTTCATGAAGTTGTACTCATTATATTTATTTCCTTTTTAGCCCAATGTTATTGAGAATTATGAATGATCAACTGATGTTTCTAGAAAGAGCATTCATTGATCCTTTAGGGTTACCAGAGAGGCCTTTCTACAGGTAAGAAAAAATAGGACTCTTTATTCTAGTTTCATTTAAAAATGTTTTAGTACTCTGGATAACACACATATCTTTCTAGCATTTGTAAATCTCAGATTACAAAAGAATTTTTTTAGGAAATTTAGAAGACTCAGAAAGACTCAGCAGGAAACAAAAATTTCCCTAATCCCATCAGCCAAATATTAAATCATTTTTATATGTTAGTATTATTCCTTCTCCTGTTTTAAATATATTTGTAAATATAACAATAAATCTGTATATGGACACATATCTTTCTAGCATTTGTAAATCTCAGATTACAAAAGAATTTTTTTAGGAAATTTAGAAGACTCAGAAAGACTCAGCAGGAAACAAAAATTTCCCTAATCCCATCAGCCAAATATTAAATCATTTTTATATGTTAGTATTATTCCTTCTCCTGTTTTAAATATATTTGTAAATATAACAATAAATCTGTATATGGATATGTGTAATGTGAAATATGTATTTGTTAATATATATAATATAATGCTGTCATGCTGACTTTTAAGGTTTTCCCCCTTAAATTTTTACAAGCATACTTATATCTGACAGATCATACTAAGTACTGCAAAATTAGTTAGAGCATTGAACAGCCAGAAACAGCTCCATGTTCCCATGTAGGGCGTACCAAAAGGCGGCACTGGGGGTGAGGCCTCATCCTAATGTGGTGACTGGTTTGCTAACAGCAGCATTCCTGTGCTGTGCTGCTTCACCGTTTTACTCAGGCCCTTGTCCTCTTCCAGGGTGGGTACGTGAACTGCCTAGCCCCTTCCGTACACCAGTCTTCTACCTAGATCGTGTGGGATGTAACACATTTGTTTTTTATGGTTCTTCACGCTTTCAGATAAGCACTGTAATGTAATAAGATGCCTTTGTCAAAGAGGAGATAAAATTCAGTAGTAAGTTGGCAGATTGCAAATAGGACTTAACAATCACAGTAGTGTAATTCAAGGGGCAGATGAAGTCAATACTTACTTGCAGTGCTCATTGCAGCAAATCATTTAATCATTTAAGCTCTCAGAGCTCAGTTTCCTCCCTTGTGAAGTATTAATATTAACTTTGTAAAATTTATTATTAAGAATTTTTTAAAATGCTGTATTCAGCTCAGTGGTAGAATTCTTGGCTAGCATGCCCACACCTGTGTTTAATCACCAGAACTACAAAAAAAAGCAAAGATCAAGCTTTAGAACTTCTGTAATTCTTTTCTTTTTAAATAAGTTACTCTTTTAACACCATGCATGATTAGTGCTAGGTAAACAGCTATTACTGTCATTGTTAGCATTATAGCTCAGAATCACTTTGAATTATTTGTTTAACATGAAAATATAATACATACTGGAATATTATAGACTAGTTTTTGAGACTCTTGAACTTGGAAGTTCAATTGACAAGTGGATTATATATTATAAATTAGGATTATCCAGGATTGCAGAGTGCTCTTGCTTTTCTCTTGTATATTGTTCATGCAGCTAATTAATAGAAAACTATTTTACTTACAGGCACATCATCTATGCTCCAAGTAGCCACAATAAGTATGCAGGGGAGTCATTCCCAGGAATTTACGACGCTCTCTTTGATATTAAAAGCAAAGCTGACCCTTCCAAGGCCTGGGCAGAAGTGAAGAGACAGATTTCTATTGCAGCCTTCACAGTGCAGGCTGCAGCAGGAACATTGAGAGAAGTAGCCTAGAAGGGAATTGAAAAGTGGTCCTGTTGAACTGCTGTAATACACTGAAAAATAAAAGTGTGAGTTTCTAGGTATATACATGTGTATAAGTACGTATGTGTATACATATAATTTTTTCTTCTCATTGTGAACCAAAAAAGAGAAATGGACAGTTTTTATTTTATAATTGTTGAATGTTATTCTGAAGTTTAAAAGTTGAACTAAATGCTAAAACTAAGAAGAACAGCTTAATATAGTACCACTTATCTAGCCATATAGAAAAAAGTCTAACGCAGCACTTCTGGATCTAAGCAAATCATTGCACGTGTAGCAAAGCACCCGTTCTTGTGGGGCAGGGAACAGGGCAGCGCCTCCTAGAGGCCAAGGCCCACCTGGGCACCCCAGCCTGGAAGGATCTCTCCTTACCCCACTTGTTGGGAAATTGTGAACTAAATCCACTTCTAGTAAATGTAGCCACTTTGTATTGTACAAGACAACCATTTTTATTTTATTTGTTTATTTTGTTTTGTTATTGTATTTTCTTTGTACATGTGCATAGTACGTAATGTTTCAATTCCTTATGTGGAATTGGTACATGTACATAACACATCTTAATTCCTTTTTCATCTCCTTTCCCTTCCCTCCCTACCCCCTCCAACCATCTCTTGATCCCTTTCATTTTTTTAGAACCATCTAGCCAAGTATAATGTGCATGCCTGTAATACTAGTGCTCCAGAGGCTGAGGCAGGAGAATTACCATGAGTTCAAGGCCAGCCTGGGCTATGTAGTGAGCTCAAGGCCAGCCTGAACTGCAGGGTGAGACCCTGTCTCAAATAAAAAAATGAAAATATATAACATAAATGTATAGTGTAAAATAAGAAATGAACACTTGTAAACTAAATAACCTTATCGAGAAAGGACTAAATCTAGCTATATTTTATCTTCATGTACTACTGACCACCAGTGTGCTTTTTGTGCCAGAAATAACCACTTTTTAAAATTTATGTTTCTTTCTGATGTTTATGATTTTACCACACATGACTGTATCCCTTACACGTTTTGGCTTTGTATATATTCTGACATTTATAATTAAAGTCATACTACATGCATTTTTCCTGATACTTGTTTTCCATCTATACATGAGGGTTCATCCATATATCATATTCTGTATGCCTCATACTGAGCATTCCTATGTATGACAGTCACACTTGTCAGTCAAGGGCCACCGAGAGAGAGAAAAACAATTAAAACAGAGAAAGTTAACACAAAGTTAATACAGCAGTGAAGTATTACCTACTGGTAGGTTAAGAGAATTCTCTGTACAGATGAAGTACAGGAATAGCCATAGCACAGAGGGCTGTGTACAGCTGCCAGTGAAGAGTGCCTCCCAGCGTGGGCCTCCCTCCATGGCAGAGAAGTGCTGAGCTTCTGACCGGGAAAGCTTGCTACACCCAACCTTCTAGGGCTGCCCAGAGACTTCTCTTCTAGGTACCGTCAAAAGTTGAAGTGTTGTACTTAAAAATAACATGACATGATTAATAGGAAAAAGAGAAACTAGAAACAATTTCATCAATTAAAGTTCATTACTGACATGTTACCCAAGACATCTAAAATTGTTCTAAGGACAAAGTCGGTGTTATAAATTAGAGGATCGGGTACTGACTGGTAACCTAAGCAATGAAGTAAAGTACTCTAGGCATTTTTAGTTCTGCAGTTTCTGTAGGGATCTTTGGAAAATTTTAAGAAGTCCTTCAGTCCAGGCAAGTTGAGATTAACAAGCACACAAGACAGCTGCCGCATTTCCCCAAGTCAGAAAGCGTCTTTTCCTCCCAACCACTTCTCTATCTCACCTTCCCAAAATTGGTTTTCTTGAGTGTCTCTAAAAGAATAATACTTCAAAGCATAACTGTATCCCTAGTGTCAGGAGCACCTGAATCCCAGACATGTTAGGAAATACAGCACAGTAGCTATGGTCAGGAGATACTGTGCTATGCTTTCAAATGTGCATTTAAAATCCATTTCTAAAAAAATAAAAATAAAACACACTTCTACAGACCTTGTGCTCCCTCACGCAAGTTCATGCTGTCCAGCATATTAGGGATGCCCAAGTTGAAGGAACCCAAAAGTAGATTGAGAGTGGCCAGGGGAGGGGGGAGGATAGCTGGAGGGTAAACATGAATGGGCATTGAGTATCATTTTGGAGTGATGAAATATCTTAGGAGAGATGATGATAGTTTTACAATTTTGAGTATACTTAAAAATCACTGAATACTTTTAAAAAGTGATTTTCATGATATGGGACTCTATCTCACTAAATGTGTTTTCAAAAAGCCATTGCTGATACTCTATTAAATGTTCCATAACAAGGTTATGAATTTCATCACACTCACCCATAATCCCAGCTTCTCCAGAGACTAAAGCTAAAAGATGAAGGTTAGTCTGAGAAATTAAGCAAGACTCTGTATCAAAGATATTTTTCAAGTATCTGGGAATGTAGATCAATATTAGAGTACATATCTAACTCATGTGAGGCCATGGGTTCAATCCCCAGTACAGAGAGAGAAAATAAAAGGACAACTGTGGTCTCTTGTGCTGGTTGACAATGCACTCTGGACAATGGGGCAGGCAGATCACAAATTCAAGCCCAGCCTAGGCTACATGAGGTACACAGCCTCTCAAGATAAAACAATGAAAAAAGAGCTGGGAAGGTAGCTCAGTGCAATGCCCTAAGCTCAATTCCCAGTACAGTTAAAAAAAAACAGAAAAAGAAGAAATTAAATGAATAATGTTTAGAAGAGATCTTTCATTTTTCTCTAAGAACCTTTGAGATTACTTTTGAGTTTTTATTATACATGTGAATAAATACTGAGACAAAATTCTCATGTATATATTATGCCCTCCTTTAGAATAAAATGCATGTCAGAACACCCTTCAGTCATATATTGAAAGAGATTTAGGTTTCAATGTCTACAGTTTGGAGACCTTGCTTCCATATTTTCATGAATTTTTCACCACTTTTGCCAAAGTGCTAAAGTTCTTGTAAAGATTGATTCAGAGTCAAACAAACAAACAAACACAACAAAAAACAAAAGATCATGTGATGTCAGAAGTAAATAAATACATATAAAACCAGGGAGGAAAAATGTCTCTAACTAGACAGCATCATGCAGGATTTCTTCCATAGTCTTGGAAAAGTTGCAAAATTGCTCTGCTTTACCTCTGATGAAGTTTATTTAATTTCTTTTTTCTTGGTTTACTGAGACAAGGTCTCATTATGCAGTTCAGACTGGCTTTGAACTCACTATCCTAGGCTGGCTCTGGACTCCCTGCTTCAGCCTCCTAAGTGCAGGGATTATAGGCATGCCTCACAATGCCATGTTATTGTTAAATATTAGTGAATCCCATGAAGCAAATGATCAGGAGTCAGCTAGTAGGATGTTCATGATCAAGGACATTAAAGAGGTCAAAAGAACATTGTGCAAAGGAATGATAATTGATACGACACAACAATGAAGAAATCAAGCTATCTAGATGATAAAAATGGTCAGAAATGGGGTAGAAAATCAGGTAGTTTATTTAGATGTGAATGGGATTATTTAGGACCACAGGAAAAAATTTTTTTTGTTTGTTTGTTTTTTTTTTTGAGCAAAAAGAAAGACATAGGATCACTTTGATGTATGGGAGTAACACTAGTCTTCTTAGATATGTAAATGGCCTCTAGGCATGTAGGAAAGGTAGCAAGGCTTTGCATATATTCCATCTCAAGCAGAGGAGTGAGAGGCTCCTATATTGCCCAGGCTAAAGTAAACACTCCTGCCTATGACAAATAAACACACCACAAACACAACAGATTGCATAATTTAACTTGCATGGAATTTCTGGAATACACAAATATATTCCATGCTTCCTTAAATTGCAACGTGCCTGCATACATCAGGCACAGACATGCTGCTTGATAGACAAGGTCTCAGGGTTAGATTCTTTGCTCTTCACCACAAAATCTTGATGAAACACTACTTCATGCAGAGCCAGTGTAGAGGAAAGCTTTCAGAGGACAAGAGAAGGAGGAAAGGAAACTATATTTGAGGGTACAAAGGTGAACATAGTAGAAGCTCACAGTTCCATTATCATAATCCAGAAACAACCCAACCCAACCCACAGGCCTTTGAGCCTAATAAGTTAGGAAAGGGGAAATAGTGAAGAGTAGATCGGTTGTTCATCTTCAAAGAAAAGAGAAGAAATGTTTGGAATCAACACTGTTGACAATATAACTTGTAGTGTGATCTTTTCTGAAGTTGAAAACCCAGCTGGTGGGGTGGGCCACATCCACCTTCAAGTAATTAATTCTGGCCTGAGGTGAAGGCCTCAGTACCCCACAGAAGAAAACTTTCTGTTCCCTGGGGTTCCACAGGCTCATTGTGATGGTCACCTCCAAATATCATCCTCCTGTCTTTCTCAGAAAGAATCATGTAGTGACTGGGCCATCCCTGAATCAATCACTCCATTATTCACTGCAGAAAGAGGCAAAAACCACAAGTACATCCTGACAGGCAGATGCTTTCCAACCCACAAATCCCTTCATTTACCATTCCTTTGAGGTGATACAGGGAATAGAGATCAAATTCACTCCTCAAGAAGAAAGGGGGTTATTATAACCTCCACAGCACATAGACATCATCAGATCTTACTTAGCGTGGCAGGAAAAAAAGACCCTGAATTGTGTAAAAGGGTATCATCTTCTATCTCTGGATAGTTGATTGTAAGATTCACATAAAGTTTTTGTTTTTCATTACTGGAACACAATTCTTAGCTTGTTTTCTTTTTAATACTATTAACTAACAGATCAATTTATTAAGATATATGTACTAATTACTGTATAAACTGTACCTTTCATATTTTTATATATCAAATGATATGAAGGAAAAGAACATATGTGTGAAACAGAATACTCTGACATTATCTTTTCAGACCATGGATTCAATAGAACACTGGCTTTTCCATCTGCCATGCACCTACTTTGGTGGGGACAGGTCAATACATCATTCATGTCTTTGTAGTTTTTAAATCTAGCTTTTGGCATCTGAACTGTTCTGCTCTTGGCAAATTTGGTCTTTCTTTTTCAT